TACCATTTTGATCGGTGACCTTAATTAAGAATTTAGGAGCACTATTGTATTACCATTGAAATGCAAGTGGCTTTTTGTGAATAATTCAGAACTGGAAGTCTGAGGCAAGTAAATCAGTGCCTATTACCTGTAGTGAATGTTGATCATGAACCAAGCAGTTTCTTTTCCTTTCTCTGAAGTCTGCAGAACAATGATATACAGCTGGGTTTGTTTGTTGTTGGTTTTTTTTTTTCAAGTGACCATGCAGGAAGCAATAAATCAAAAAAACCCAAACAAACAAAAAACTACGCAAACATTCCTAAATCTCAGCACTGCAGAGGAGCTGATTTAAATTACAGGACTCATTTGTGAACATGTCTTCCAGGCCTTTTAAATTTAATTTATGTCTGTGGAAACCAGTTTACAGATTAAGTCTCCATACTGATCCTGGCCCAGTGAGACACCTACTTCAGACTAATTTGCTGCGCTAAGCTTTCTAGTGTGGCTATTTTCTGAATGCCAGTCAATTTAAAGCGAGGAATTTCCAGTGTGGAAAAGAAAAAGAAATGGAGGTCTTCTAGGAGGATATGGTGTATGGATTTTTAAAGAACATCAGACAGACAGCAAACAAAATAACTTGGCAGTGTAGGCAACTTTTCCCAAGATACTCTGCAATGGTTTTCTTTAGAAAAAAATTCTTTAAGTAAAACCAGTAAGGTAAAAATATCTCAGTATGGAAATTTATGCTATTTGACCATAGGATAGTCCTTTCAGACAAATCCCAGAAGCTGGTGTTGAGCGGCTGCTGTCGGCATTGAGTGGCACAGAGGACCCTGTGCTACAGGGCTCTTTAGGGCTGGTGTCTCTTCTCCCACCCTTCAACAGGTGCTGAGCTGGGACCACTGGGATGGCTTGGATGTGGCCCATGAAATCTGTAATGTAGCTGCTGACACTCATCCCTAGGTTTCTGTATTAGCTGATCCGTCTTTTGTGATTTCTTCCTTCAGAGGTAGCTGGTTGAGAGCTGTACCAAGTAAGAGGGAGAATACCAGCAGTAATTAAGCAAAAAACCTCAGGGGGTATTTATGTTGTTGCCTCCAATATCTTGTTGGATAGCTGCTCCTGGATAACAAGACAGCACCTAAGAGCAACAGTGCTTAACACTGTTTTACTTGGTCTTTTCTACTACAAATGGATCTCTTTTCAATGGTAGAGACCATTTTTTTCAGTGGTCCAGATCTTTACTATAATGGCTTATTCATCTAAATGTAAGAAAACCCATAGGTGGCACAAGTCAGGTAAATGTCTCTGGGCAACAAGTTAATAGCTTTCTGGTAAAATGAAGTACCTGAGTCAAAGGTGGAGAAGCCAGGACTTTTTTCAGGCTTTGTGGCTGCTCGAAATGAAGTTGTATTTGTAATGGGTGAT